TGTGACTTGAGAGGCTCTCATGCACCTTTCCGCCAGTTAACTTTAGATCAAAGATTCCGCCACTGCAAGAAATGAATAGTAACAATATAAATTCGATTCATCACTATTTAGCATGTGTAACTAAGTGACAGTGTTTCAATATTTATTATAGTAAATTCATTATTGTTTTAATATGAGATAGTTATATAAATAATAATATGTCTTATCAATTTACTATTGTTCTAATCAACTGTGACTTATATATTGTAGTTGAGTCATTTGCAAAATGTGAATTACTAATACCCAATTATTATTTTCAATCGTAAACCAAGCTTTCAACACTAACTACACTCAAAAGCCTGCAAGCCCTCATGATGCTTATTCATATGTTCAGATAAACAGGTCAACACTATAAGTGAATTATCAATCACCTTCCTTCCAGAGATGGTTATTAAAAGTGAAGAACATCATAATCTTAATGAACTTAACCTGTATACATCCGCCTTGCTATAGCCTAACCAATCAAATTTAATAATACACATCAATTTTGTTCCAACCTAACACACCACAAATTTAAACTTGGAATATTGAGTGTTCTCCATATGGTATATCTGGAACAAGAGGAAAGAAGAAACTTCTCTGTACTCTCGACTGATACGATTACGATGCTACTTCTCGCACTCTGTTAACTATAGTGGTGAAAAACTTATGCAAAGTATTATCACCATTTCTCAAGTACCTTCAAGATCTACTATGTTAATATGCAATTCGCTATTTTGCTTTGCTAATGGATGAGGGAGATCAAAGGGCCCAAACTTGTTGTAAATTAAGGTGAATTGAGATGTGATTTATAGCATCTTTCTTGCATATTACATAAGACAGTTACCTTTACGACGTCAAGGCCACCGCCGCAGGCATAATAAGGAAGTTGAATAAAGTTCACTACCATTGCACCTGAGTACAACATCAATTAACACTCTCTTACACTGACTTCAATATAAAAATGAGCATTATTTCCTTCTTCCGACAAAAGCCGTATATGGCTTGTTACATCAAATCAAATGGAATAGGACAAAAGACAAAGAGTCCATATACCACCAAACTAAAATCGAGTCTAGCCTAAAAACTCCGATTCAAAATATCCTTACAAGTAGATTGTATGAATTCCTTATGTTAATAGCTCTCATGCAAAGTTCTTCTAAAAGCCCTCTGCGCATAATCTCTAGTCCTATACAAATAACGTAATCAACACCCTTCTATCAAAGAAACTAAAAAACTACAATGTCTTATGAACGGTGGGTATACAACTTCGAGAAGATTGCAAAGCCAAAGCCTCCGCTTTAGAAAAAAAAATCTAACGTTTGAATATATGGACCACGTTCCTGGATTGAATCCTAGAGACATAGATATCACAGCTAGCAACGTACCTGGTCGCGGTTCCTGGCTCGCTAGGTACCTACATTAATACAAAACTCGCAAGATGGACGAATCCTTTGAGAACCCAGGGTAAACAATGAAACCTACAGCCCTTCGAACCATAGACTCGTCGCGAGATTAACCTGGTTGGGTAAATATGCACAAGGCACATCCAAACTAGATAGACACTGCCCAATTCACAAAGCAGCTAACCTACTTCAACAGATAACGATAAATCGAATTTCCTTCTCATCATTGCTGGCAATTAGCCTCAACTGTTCACAATAAGGAGTTCTGATTCCTCTAGAGAAATCCTTGACTTCATAAAACCCAAATTAAACCAACTCGACTGTTGCTAAGCTATCTAAGAAATCGCACATTGAGTGCTTTCCTCTCAAGAAACAGAGAGGCTCTAATGAGAGCTCTAAGATCATTAATCACGAACTGCTTTGTTAGGTAGGGAATCTTTTGGCTAGCGTCGTATATACATCCTGAATAATGGCAGGGTGGATTAATCGTTCATCGATGTCTGCAACAAAAAAACGTACGCTCCTCCTGATACGAATCTCTATTAACATGATCAGCCACTTATATGAGATGGTCAAAAGTTAGAAATAATCATGGGTTTGTGATTCTCAGCTGAAACCGTAAATAGGCTGAAAATGTTCTTCCTTAATTTTTGCTACTAATCTATCCTTTTCTCTGTTTGTACTTCTATGCATTTAGGACCAAACCATCAGCCACATTGGCTTTGCAGGTTTGGCACAAAAGTTTGTTGTGTGCTGAGGATGTTTCAACCTGTGCGATTTGGTCTTTGCAATTTTTGACGCGTTAATCTTTCAAAGCTTTGTTGGTACATGCACCATTGTATATGAGGGTAATTTTGCACGTATATGTTATTTGATGTCAGCAATTTTAGCGTGTTGATCTCTCAAAAGTTTGCGGATTTACATTTCTAGATGCAGGAAAAGATAGGGTAATTTTGCCTGTATGTATTTATTCTTGATGTCACTTGTTTTAAGAGGATCAATCTCTGTATTTCTATTTACTCTGTAGATAACATGGTTTCTTTTTCGCTGTGCTCCCGTCTCTATAAACAATCACAACTTCTAAATATGAGAAAACCTAATCATCAAAACCATCGAAAAACTGTGCATTGAGCCCCAAATGGCATGAAAAAACCTCAACAAGACCCACTATACGGTCAACAAGCGCTACTGGAAAATCCATCCCGAATCACAACTGATGATAGCCATCTAAACCCGCAAGATCAAATCTTCAAAAAATAGATTATGCCCACACTGGAACTTGATCGAATAAGTCATCAAGATCATTAGTATGGGTACCTGTTCCGAAGTACATATACCAACTCAATGATAATCAAATGTACACAGCGCATACTCAACGTGACTTCTCCTTCACCAAAGATCAGGTCTACCCAATACAGAGACAATGACTCGGCAATAAAAACCCTGAGATAAAAGATCTCGCTACCTAGAATTCTGGGTAGCTCCCCTCATCTCACACACGTGCAATACGGTATAGTGCTCAGATACTCCGTCGCGGCCTGCCCCACCCCTTCAACTCATGCCAAACTTAAACCTCTGCTCCATAGGACCAATCCGGTATGTTCGAAAAGACATCCCTGATACTGAGACTTACTCATGTCTCATCCCAAATCGGCACCCGAATCCCCATACACCTTGATGTATGAAGCCACATAATGACCCTACACTGCAACGTTACCCATATAGAGGATGCGCTACAACCAACTCAGACCTAATCCAACTACTCGCAAGCTAGCTCGTCTCCGCAAAACATTTGATCAACATGGTAGTGGCAAGACTAACAATCCATACAACGGGAATACAACATCAATCTCAACATGGCGGCACAACGATCAATCACCACGGGAATCAGACTCCGTCCAACTGATAAGCAGGTCCCTACAAAAGCTCTCAACGAGCGGGACAACATGCAGGGGTTTATACAAAGGTGAACTGACAAAGATAATAGCGGTCTAGGAAAGGCAGCCGATCAAGCATAGTGCTGAGGCATGCGCAACATAGGAGATCAAAAGAAAGACGAACCCACGAATAAAAAGAAACGAGGCTGGGAGGCGCTTGTATTGAGGGAGACGTACAGAATTAGTTCGATGCGAGATTAAGTGTTATACCGAATGCTTATTAAAATTCATAGAACCAAGATGTACAACGTAAGCGAGAGAAGGTCACCTTTTAAACCGTGGTTCCGTTCCATAGCGTACCCACCGATGCTGTGTTGACTTTGTCTTCCTTGTCAATCCAACTCGATAAGATGCGTTCAGCTTCGCAGTACATAAAGAAGCTCGGCGGGTGGCGTGTGCCCGTACTGAGTGGAATATACCCCAAGAGCTATGATGAATACAAGGCCGAAAGCATGCTAAAATAATACTGGAAGCATTCAGACAGACCGAGAGTTCAACACATAAGAGCTCCAATGTCACCACCTCGACCAACCAACCAACTAAAATGACGCAGTCCCTACCCCACCACCACACACCATGGCAGACACTGCTGAAGTAACCCACCACCCTCCCCTTAACCTTCCCATTTCCTTTCTTCATTAGTGGCATCATATTCTTTCTTTCTTTTTCTGTTTTTGGCTATTTAGCTTACTATTAGTTGACATTTTAATTTTAATTCAAGCTATACCGCAAAGTGACAATATTTGCATGCTGGGTATCCTTGTGATGTAAAATCATTTGCTTTGGGAAAGATAGCTTAGCATTTCAGTTAATTAATTCATCTTATTTGACGAGAAAAGCCACAGGAATCAAATTTAGCATCGATTGTTGCATTACAGATTAAAGTGAAGTTTTTGGCAGCTGAATTTGCCCGTGTTATTCTCTGTTTTATGGTTCTGAGTGGTAGGTTTATTCGCCGTGTCTGAATCGGATAGTTTCTAAATTTCTCATTACTGTAAGTAGCATATCTCCGTTTTATTTAAGAATCAGTGCAACAATTTTAGTTCGGAAGAAACGAAGCAAATGATCATTTACTTCATACGTGCCATAAAAGTCGACAGGTGAAGATTATTTGTTCATCCTTTACAAGGATGAATTACAGTAAATCACCCTAAAAGTTTCATCCATTTCAACAAAACCACCATGAACCTTTTACCTACAATACCATGGGTTTTTCCAAAAGTAAAAAAACAAAATAAAATCCTTTCACTATTTTGCCTCGCCTAAAAAGGACATACTAGCAATAATGTCTACTTGAAAATGTCCTCTATACACTACTTAGTGCATGTCTGCCGAAGGCTTTCATTATGAGGAAACATAAAGGATAATTCTATGTTTCTCCTTTTTAACATCATTAACTTTGCAACAGCTAAAGATTCTATTGGCACACTTACCGGATTCATCTGAGACCAACAAAACTACACTGCTGAGAATGGAACTTTTCATAGTTGCATCACAAAAACCTGCACGTTTGTTGCACATCAGAACTCATTGAAAAAAAAATTAATAAAATCATCTCCATATTTAGTAGGTATTCTAGTAACAAGGTTCAGTAAAACATATTAAAGGATAACAAATGTCCCGAGCAATATCCACGAAATGAGGAAATAGAAGGATTTGAAGCACTTTTCACAACAGGAAAACAAAAAATACGGATGCTCAACAAAACATGTTGTAATTGTTACACATCATCAATTTATGCCTGCTCGAAAATGTTCTCAATCATGGACTACACAAAGATATGCCCTGCTCAAGGGAGCAAGTTACGGTAGAAATAAAATTTGAATAAAAGGGATCCATGAGTCTGTTGGGAACTATCATTTATCTCCTGTCAGCAGAAAGACAACTCATTGACTAAAATTGCATCCGGTATCAGCAAAAGCTGCCTGAGCTTTTGACATTCAATCATAAATATATTTCTTCAGTGCTATTAGGGCTGATAGACTTCAGGAAGTTGAAGCCCCACACTAGCAGCAGATTTCCTTAATGTCTTCTTCACTTCGTCAGATCGATCAATAGCGATATTATAAGAGAATAGCAACTCCTGCACAGTGTTTCATTGATCTAAGTCATGGCAGGGACTTGAGAACTAACAATATGCCAAAAAAAAGAAAAAAAAAAAGAAAAAAAAAAGGGAGTGTCAAATAAGCAAAATAATAGTACACTTGCTCAGTATGATATTATTCCTATTAGAAAATTGCAAATGCTACATATGCGAGAAACCATCTTTTTCTTGATATATCACCTAAAATCATAAAGATACGAGAGTAATAGTTCAAGAGGAATCTAACATGCTATGAAGAATATCTTTGAGCAAATTAGTATTTGACTAACCACACAACAGACTTAGCATCCTTCACAAATCATATCATCTCAAATGCTTCTTGAAATTAGGATTCTAATATGGTAGGGATTTCTACATTAGGATTGCGATGAAACCAATTCCAACTTGATCAACTTCTTTTTTAAATTAAACTTAAGTTAATTTGAATGAATTTCAGTTTCTATTTACATTCTACATTTCAAATAACTTAAATCAGGATAATTTATCTTTTTTGTTAAAAGAATTTTTTTTACTGCCTATCTAAACTTGTATAATTATAATGATCACTTTTTGCTTAAAATAAGTGAATAAACTTAAATATTTAGAAGACTCCAATAGGAAGTCACCTTTGTTGTCACCATAATTCGTGGGAAAGATTGTTCAGTTAAGCAAAGGATTTCTGACAGGGATTCTCATTTTAATCATTTATTATTCTGATTCACCCATTTAAGAATGACATTCAAGTAGGGGTGCAAACGATTCGGATACAGCTCATATATGATACTTACCATATCCGCATCCACTTACCATTCACGGATCTGGATACATATACGCCTCGGTAAGAAAAACTCATATCCATATCCGCTAAAATCAGATATGGATACAAATACGGATATAGATTCGGATATACATGTGGATGCAAAACAGATTTTAGAAAACCAAATAATATTAAGAAAAATATAGTTCATATGTCACAAGAGAGTTCATTAGTATGCTCTTTATATCTGAAAAGCTAAGGTTAGATCTTTTGGGCGCATAGTTTCTACAGTACAACCATCTCTTATCTTCTATGCTACATGGCTGACAATGTGTAATCCTCATCCTTTCTCCTTAAAAAAAGCCAGGATAAAGAAGTAGCCCACGCCCACTATTTACATGACACAGATCCTAACAAAGAACTGGCCGAAAGAATAGGATTGATATACTTTTAGGTGATACTAGTGTTGGTTTCATATGGATTACTAGGGAACTTCTTACAACCCTGTCGAATAGAGCTTTGTTTCGCCATGTGAGTCCTGCAATTTTGTTACAAATCTCGATATATGTTCAATCTCTACATAAAAATTTTATTAATTTTGTTGTTCTTGATCATTTTTGCTCCCTAAACAACTACAATTAAATGCGGAGACACCGAAAAGACGAGTCAAAAAGTATCAAGTCTGGTAATTTTACAGGTAATACAGTCTCTAAAAGACGCAACTTTTAGTCAAATTATCCGTAATGCATCAAATTTTCTACAATTACGAGGGCTAAAACTCGTAAATCTGAGGTCTGAAACCGCCGAACCTTGTGATGATGCAAGCTGTTGAGCATGTAGGTGTAATTCGAAGCAAGATTCAGCTTGCTTCTGACCGCGGATCGATCAGAGAGCTCGGAATTCGATCGGAACTCTTGGATCACGAAATCCCTGAAGTGCCTCCTGCTGCCGTCTTTGCCCACGTGCTTGTCCACGGCCTTGAGAATCTGGCGGTAGACATTCGCAGGCTTCATTGCTCCGCAAAAGAATCGAAGAAGGTAGGGTTTTGGGTATACGGATCAGCGAAATGAAGGGGGGAGAGTTTGAGGATGAGTTTTTGAGAGGTGTAGCGGGTTGGGTATACGGAAGGACCCGTACCCGATAACAGATTGGTGGAATCTGTGTGGTGCAATTTGAAAATTTTTAGAAAGTTATTTGCAAAGTGAGTAAGCAGGGTTACTCTCTCTAACAAGATTAATAAGGTAAGCGCAAGCTTTATTTTCCATCAATTTTCGAATTTCTAGGCTGGACTATGTTAAGATAAAGGTAGGGCTGTAACTTGAAAACCGATAACCGAAAAAATAACCACACCAAAGCCGAACCATAACCGAAAAAACCGAGGAAAGAAAAAAACCGCACCAAACCGAAAAAAATAACCGAAAACCGAAAGGTTTGGTGTGGTTTTGGTTTCGAATGTCTGGAAACCGAAACCGAACCGAAAAACCGAAAAGTTATTTTATTCCCATTTTGGTCTGAATGGGATTTACATTTTACTGACCCGGCTCAGCTTACGGGAAACCAAAACCGAAGCAAACAAGGGAAATGGATCAATTGGAAACTAAAATCTTATGTGGCAACATAGTCAGGTCCCAGAAACCACATTTCTCATGTTTTTTTTCTTTTTCTTTTTTTTGCTTGCTAAATACTAACCAAACACACCCTTAGAACAATGGAAAATAGAGATGTCATTGGTACATGTGCAAGTTGTTGGAAACAATAGCATTCTACGAGAGAACCTCACGTATGAAGAGAACTACCCTCTGCTGTGTGGAAAAAAGTGTTATGATTCTTTAGCAAGACGCATGTACACTCCAATGTCTTCTGAAGATCTTGTTCTTCTAATTCTATGGGGAAAAAAAAACCTGGATCCATAATTTTACAACTACAAACAAGTGGTCGGGTAATTGATCTTGTTCTTCTGATCTATCATCTTTTTGCTATTCTAGTTTTTCATCGCTTTTTTCGGAAACGGTTATGTAATATGAGACATTTCTACTTTCTACTTTTCTAGACTTGTTTTCTTTATAGAATAACCGAAAAAAACCCGATATAAACCAGAGAAATACCGAACCGAACTAAACCGAACACAATTGGTTTTTGAAAAAAATAGTAAAAAACCAAACCGAACCAAATCGAAAAAATAGACCGGTTTGGTGTTTGGTGTCACCTATTAACCGCACCATTCAAACCGATTAACAGCCCTAGATAAAGGTACTCATATCTGAATTTATCAAACTCCAATATTCCTTTCAAGATATATGGACTCAGAACATAAATAGTCTAAGGGGGTGTTTGTTTCACCAAAATTTTTGGTGTTTGGTATGGATTACAAGTTTTGGGATAAAAAAATGAGTTTTTTTTTTTGGGATTCCATATATGATATTTGTTTTAAGAAAATTTTTAGAATATTGAATCTTAAAAGTGTAAAAAGTGCCCAATTTTTAGAATTTGCCAAATCCTCTCAATTGGAGAGGATTTTAACAAATCCCATAAATGGGTGTGCTTACCTCTCAATTGGAGAGGATTTGACAAATCCCAATTTTGTCTTTTCGTGGGAGGTAACCTCACCAAGATAGCATATTCATCATATTATAAAATTTTGGCATTTAGTAATGCTACAATTTGAGCTTGAAACAAATAAAATATTACAAATTGTAATATTCCAAACCCCAAAATATTAATGAAACAAACAACATTTTAGAAATCCCAACTCATAACAAAACACCTATGGATTTCAAATCCCATGGTGAAATCCATATCCTAAATTATAAGATTTGAAACAAACACCCCCTAAAAAGAATGTTGCTATATTTTATTTCTTGATAGATCCAAACGAGACGAATTTAAAATGGCTAAATATCAGAAAACCTCCTTAACATTGGGCAATTAGGTTAGGGGTTATCAGAAAACCGCCTTCTTTAATATTTTATTAGAAAGCTCTCCAACAACATTAACTGTAATTTTCATTAACAAAAATTCCCCCCTTGTGTAATTTTATCCTCTTATGAAAAAATTGTGGTTAATGTTGTAAGGGATTTCTGATAAAATATTGAAGTCAAAGGAGTTTTTCCCCCTGTAACACCTATATTAAGGGAAGTTTTCTGATATTAAAAATTATGGGGTTTAATCTGTTAACCATCCAGACTTAAGGGGGTCTTCTGATATTTAATCAATTTAAAATTATATAGACACCTGCAATCAATTGCTTCTCAAATATGCAAAGTTTTAAGGACAACTGGACATAACAGCAAAAAACCACATCCAACGTTTAAAACGCGATGCACAAAAAATCCCTCTCCATTCACTCTTCTTCCTCCGCACTTCCGTCGGTACTCACGCTTCACAAACAATGCAGACTACAAAATGACGAAAAAGCCCTCCAAAAACGACCCAATTTTCCAGCTAACCCTCATCGTCTCCGACGCCTTCGTCTCCTTCATCTGGGTCTTCTCGGGATCTCTCGTAAGATTCGTTGCCTACAAGTTCTTAGGACTTGGGGCCCACAACCCCATCGCCCTTATCTTCAAAGGATCTTTGGCTGTGATTTATTTGGTATTTTTTGCTTGGATACGAAAGATTACGAGGGGAGCTTATAATCCTTTGATGGTTCTTTGCTATGGGATTTCGGGGAGCTTTTCTGTGTTTCTTTTTACTGTGTTTGCGAGGATTCCAGCTCAGGTTAGTGATTTTTGATAGAAATGAAATGGGTATTGATTTTTTTTTTTTGTTTGCAGACTTGCAGCTGTTGTTGTGTAAATAATGTATTGTTTTGTGCAATTAGCAAGTGTTTTTGGGTAATTGATTGGAAATTACTTGGTTTCATGATTAGATATGAAATGGGTGTTGTTTTTTATTTGGTGAATTGTACTTGTTTGCAGATGTTCTTGTGTAATTTGGTACAATTTTTAAGTTTTTTCTTTTTTTAGTTTTTTCCCCTGGTTGATTGATTGGATATTAGTTGGTTACATGATTTGAATTGAAATGTTCATGTTGTTTTCTGAATAGTGTTTTCCCACATATCTGGTCTGTAAAAATTTATTATTTATGCAATGTGCTATTGTTTTTGGTTAATTTGTTGGATATTAGTTCGCTAATCAATGAGACAGGAGTTTTCAGTTTACCGATAACTATACATAACTCTTTAGATCAACTAATTTTGTTTCCTGAAAAAATATATATATTATCTAGATGTGATTAATCACTGACTTGTTCCTAATAGATTCACATCATTTGTTTAAATTGAAAATTCTCTTATTTCAGGTTATTGGATCAATTATTGCTGTCTGGTTAATCATGTTCACCTTTCCTGAAGCAGCTCATCCTCCGCACTTGAACGTAGATATTAACCGAGGAACTTTAACAGAGGGGTTGCTTGCATTCACAATTGTTACAGTTTCATTAACACTTAAGAAGAAAAACCCCAAACATTCTGCTACCAAAACATGGATAAAGAGCATCTCTAAAGTCGTTCTTCATTTACTCGGTTCTGAGATTACTGGTGGAATGATGAACCCTGCTGCTGTAAGTGTTTCATGCCAGAGATCAAGCGATGACTATTTCCTATTAATTTGTTTCCCTTTTTAGTTATTTGTTCCAATAATCTGTTGCAAAAATCTACAGCCTTTTGGCCCCTCATTAGCTAAAAGCATGTGTATTGCTGAATTTGTTATGGACGTAGCAAAACATATGGTGGCTCGACTATATGGTAATACGAGGAAATTTAGAAAATAAGCACTAAGGTTCTCTTAATATTTAGTAAGAGGTTAAGAAATGATTTGTTCTAGAGCCTCCATGTAAATTTTCTCATGGGTAAAAGTTGAAGGTAGATATCACTCGTTACTAACTTGGGTTTGTATTTTTCATTTTTCTTATGTTTTCTTTTACGTTTCTTATGATGATGTTTGTTTTCTTTCCTTCCTCAAACAGTGTTCTTTTTTTCTGCCTTGTTCCAAAGGAAAAAAAAACTCCAAATTTCTGGCATGTATCGAAACACTAAGTTAACCACAGTCGAAGAGCACTGTAGGAGAAAATAATCATCACTTGAATCCTTTAATTAGATACTAGTAATTCATCAGATTCCTATATCTCATCCATTTGGAAATCATATAAACATTTGGAAAATTACTAATATGCCAATGAAGTAGTAGCTTTACTTGTTTCTATCCTTGCAAATGGATATATGGTTACAAGAACTTGTTAATTGATTTAGCTATTCATGTGACTGATTCTTCTTCTTCTTCTTCTTCTTCTTCTTTTTTTTTAGGATACCGGGTTCTAAAAGAAAATTTTAACAGGACATCACTATTTTTGCAGGCATTTGGGTGGGCTTATTTTCAAGGGAATTATAATACAAAGGAGCATTTGTATGTTTACTGGCTTGCACCCTTTGAAGCAACTCTGATGGGAGTATGGACATGTAATTTGTTTGTTAAGCCAAGAAAGCAGGAGCAAAAATGGAAAGAAAGCTCAGATTTAAATCGGATCGAGGTTTGAGCCCTTTCTTGTCTTCTATTTTTTTTCTTGATAGCTTTTTTATGTTATCCCAATTTTTGGATGCATATAATAGCAAAAATCCGTTTGGCTTAACTTTTAAATTGATTAATGACTTAGTCTCTTCTATGATTATGGGATGTCTAATTGCTTATTAGTGTTTCCATACAGTTTTCATGCTGTCTATTGATTAATTTTTCCCTTTGCTTTTTGGGAATGCAATATGGCTTATGTTTCACCACTTAAAGACAATGCCTATCAAAGAAGTAAGATATGCTATAATTGCTATGCATTTTATACTACAGGCTTTATATCATTATTTTTTAATGTACATATTCATAAACAATATAAGAAATAGGTCAATAAGAAAGCATATTTTATTCATGACATCAGAACGATGAGTACTAGCAACAGTCGCTTTGCGTGACTGCTGCCAGCTTTCACCCCAAAAATAAGGGGGTTGGGGTGTTGGGATTTTGTCTTTGATTCTTTGTGTAACTTCATGAGAATTAGATAGGGTTAGGTTCTATCATGATTAGGAGTTTGAGTTCTATCATGATTAGAAGTTTGGGTTTTATCATGATTAGGAGTTTGAATCCTATTCTAATTAGGAAGTTAGGCTAGAGATAGGGTTTTGGTTTCCTTATATATATTCTTCTATTGGTGGAGGAAAAACCATGAAGAAAAAGTAGAGATGTAGTAGATGAGAGAGAGAGGGTTTCGTAGTCTTTATCCGTGCAAAAGATTACAATGAGTGGGCTTTGGAGAGAATATGAGAGTTGATTATGTATGTGAGGTTGAGAGATTGAGAGACGAGAGTTGAGTGGTTCCTCTTGTAGTTCTCCCTGATACATAGTGAATTTCTCGTATTATTGCCCCGTGGACGTAGGTCGAAGTTGGTCGACCGAACCACGTAAATCTCGGTGTTCTTTTTCTTGATTGTGGTTGTTCTATCTTATTGATTGGGGTTGGCTTCCGAGTTGCGCATATCGTGGTAGGCGGGAAGACTGAAATTCCCCAACAAGTGGTATCAAAGAGAAGATGATGGATCCGGGAGCGAGTTTGCAAGATAGAAGACGACGTCGTGCAAGATTGAAAATCGGCGTTACAAGAATCAAGATGAAAAGAAAAAGGGGAAAATACTGTAGCGGTGGTACTGTAGCAGAATACTGTAGTGCGGCGGGCACTGTTCACGTGGGGATCCGACGGTCCAAATTGATTTGTTAGCCGATTGAGGATTTGGAGGCGGATTTTGGTGATCCAGGAGTCATTCCTAGGTATAAGTTCTCTCTTATATATGTGTAATATGTGTGTGTGTGTGTGTGTGTGTATACTCTCTCTCTTAGTATATATGTATATATAAGTATACTCTCTCTTATATATGTATAGTCTCTCTTATATAAGTATATATAAGTATACACTCTCTTATATATGTATAATATATGTGTGTGTATATACATACTCTCTCTCTCTCTCTCTTAGTATATATGTATATATAAGTATACTCTCTCTTATATATGTATAATATGTGTGTGTGTGTGTATACTCTCTCTCTTAGTATATATGTATATATAAGTATACTCTCTCTTATATATGTATACTCTCTCTTATATAAGTATATATAAGTATACACTCTCTTATATATGTATAATATATGTGTGTATATATATATATACTCTCACTCTCTTAGTATATATGTATATATAAGTATACTCTCTCTTATATATGTATACTCCCTCTTATATAATTATACTCTCTCTTATATATGTATAATATGCGTGTGTGTGTATACTCTCTCTCTTAGTATATAAGTATATATAAGTATAATATATTACAACAGCTACTTATTCCTCATTGGCCCAACGGGCAATGGCTACTTATGCGATTCTCTCTCTCAAGTTATAACTTATAAATATATACAATATACTTACATATAATATATGTATATATAATATATAGTTACGTAATAATTTGTAAGTATATACTAATACATAATTATATAAAATATATTAATTTTAAACTATTTTTTAGCATTTTTTATCAAAAAAAAGAAAAGAAAAAAAAGTAAAAAAACCGGGCCGGCCCGGAGCCGGGCCCGGGCCCGGCCCGGGGTACCCGGGTCCGGTCCGGGCTCCGGTTTTGCCCGGTCCGGGCCCGGATGGACAGGTCTACAGATTGATTTGTTAGCCGATTGAGGATTTGGAGGCGGATTTTGGTGATCCAGGAGTCGTTCATAGGGTTTTTCGACGTGCTGAGGTTGTTTTTGGTATCGGTTTCATCAAATTCAAACTCTACGGTGACTGATTTGAATTTTAATTAGAGAATATGACTTCTTCGGGTCCGAAGTTTGATATTCCGCTATTTAACTGCAAGACAAATCTGATAGTAGATAAGGAGCAGGAGTTGGTTGGTGTGTATACTTGAGGAGAACAGTGCCAGATTAGGTGGAGCTTACAAGCGGGCACGACCGAGTAACACACATGGAGATGAAGATGGTGGCGTTGGACTTGAAGATGGTGAGCGCTCATATTCAGTTTAAGCCAAGTAATGGAGGAGATAGAGGCATCCGGCTCGTAGTGTAGAGTAGGAGAGGTGCACCGATGTGATTTGAGACGAGCGATGCAGGTGGAGCACAAGGACAACAAGAGGGGTGGAGGCGTCACGGCGAAGCAGAAGATAGTGAGGATCATGAAGGCATCCAATTGGGAGTGCGGGTGTTCTGATTTGAAGTGCGAAAGAAATAGAAGACTCTAGCGGAAGAGACAAAGTTTCAAGACGACGATGGTATATCTTCAAGGGAGTTTTGGAATCAAATCCAATGTGGAGATTGTTGGGATTTTGTCTTTGATTCTTTGTGTAACTTCATGAGAATTAGATAGGGTTAGAGTTCTATTATGATTAGGAGCTTGAGTTCTATCATAATTAGGAGTTTGGGTTTTATCATGATTAGGAGTTTGAATCCTATTCTAATTAGGAAGTTAGGCTAGAAATAGGGTTTTAGTTTCTCTATATATATTCTTCTATTGGTGGAAGAAAAACCATGAAGAAAAAGTAGAGATGTAGTAGATGAGAGAGAGAGGGGGGGTTTCGTAGTCTTTATCCGTACAAAAGATTACAAGGAGTGAGCTTTGGAGAGAATGTGAGAGTTGATTATATTTGTGAGGTTAAGAGATTGAGAGACGGGAGTTGAGTGGTTCCTCTTGTAGTTCTCCCTGATACATAGTGAATTTCTCGTATTGTTGTCTCGTGGACGTAGGTCGAAGTTGGTCGACCGAACCAC